TCTAAATTAATAAGGTCGATAAATTAATAAGATAATAATTTTTTTGGAAGATCCCTATATAAATTTATGGTAATTTTAATATTATAAATTAATAATTCTATAAAATTACAAATATAACTACGACAACTTAGTAAAATTTGATTCTATTATTGTTGTTTCTTCTTAAAATTTAAATCTAGTTGTATTTCATCTCTAAAATTAAAAATGTTTGATGTTGCTTTAATACAATAGTGATTTCCTTACCATACATGAACTTACATTAATTTTTAACTAGTACTATGTACTAAATGAACTTTATATTTTAGGGGTATGTATTATATTTAATTAGTCATATTATACGTCAACAACATTCAATTAGTCAATAATGTATATGTTTTATTCAAACCCTGCTATTGGGGGAGCTCCTTGAGCGATTGCACAGGGCCCTATTTTTTCATCTTTATAATTAGGTCTTAATTTTTTAAATCTTGTTTTTTACCTTTATAATCGACTAATTGAGGTCCTAATATTACTCAATCTCACTATTTATTTTATAATTGAAGTCTTTAATATTTTGTCAATCATTTTTTTTACTTTTATAATTGAAGCCCCTAATTTTGTAATTTCACTTTTAACTTTATAATTGAGGCTTTTTAATATTTTTCAATCTCACTTTCTATCTTTTCAATTGAGGTCCTAAGACTTTTCAATCTCAATTTCTGTCTTTATAATAGAGACCCCTAATTTTTTAATTTCACTTTTTTAACTTTATAATTGAGACCCTTAAGTTTTTTTAATTTCACTTTCTAATTTTCTATTTGAGGCCCCTAAGTTTTTTCAATCTCAATTATACATTTATAATTAAGGCCCCTATTTTTTTAATCTCGATTTCTACCTTTATAATTAAGGCCTCTAATTTTTTATAATTTCATAAAATTCTCAATTTCTCGTCCCTTACTCCATCTCTCTCATTAATTTATTTAAATTTGAATTGAATCTAATCATATTTGTCTCTTTTTTTTTACAAATCTTATTTTTTAATTTACCAAATATTATTTAATTCTTAGTCTTCTCTAATCTCAATCTAACGATAACATAATATGTTATTCTTTATTTTTTTAATTTATTATTCAGAATAAAACAACATATCACAATTTATACCCACATTTGATTTTTTTTATTCTTTCAGTCGTATTTAAGGTGTTTTCTAAACAAAACAATGAAATTAATGTTCGAAAAAGTTTAATAATTTTTCTATGATATTAAATTAATTGTTTAAAGTAATGGAATATATTTTCTTCAATCAAGGCCTATTTTTGATTTTCGCTTAGGGCCCCGAAAATGTTCGAGATGGCTCTGATTTTATTCATAAAGAATAATGTAGGTTCGTTGAATCGGATTTTTTTTAATTATTATTTTATCAATTATTTAACACCTCTTTAAACTAATAAAATTACATATTCCTAATATTATTGATTTATAAAGATTTTATTGTATTTGAGTATGTAATATTTTAATATGTAAGAAGTAATTTTTTTTTATTAATCTGAGGTAAGTACAAGATAGTATATGTTCAAATATAGCTATCAACATTTTAACATTGAACGCTCACACACTCCTGATATTTATGATGCTCGAACCCAAATCCTCAAGAAATAACAACAATTATATTATCACGGAAACCACTTGGTTCGTACCGTAAGAAGTAATTAAATAAGAGTTTCATAAGCAAATCAACTGTGATTTGCAATTTTAAGACATTAATTTATCTATGTTGTATTTTGATATTTTCCAATATCATAATCATATTTAAAATATTTTGTATTTGTATTTGTATGAGTTGAATTTTGTCCGTCATTTTTTATGAAGAGTAACGCACCGCAGGTAAGTATGACCCCTAAAACATACTCCTTCAAGCGGGAATCCAGAGACATCATCTCTCATCACACCTGAGATTTGATTCCAGAAGGTGCAGATTGATCTAATGGCTCAAACAATAGATATCTGTGATTCAAGCAAAGTTTATTCAAAGCAATATTCGAGAACATTATACGAATTACTTGCAAATATACATTTCTTAATTCTTGATGTGAAACTTATATGATAACAACGGATACTCAAGCAAATTGTAGCTATAAAACAAACAGAAAAATTCAGACATGCGAACACACACACAACAGAGAGAAGAAAAGGTTACAGGTTGATGCGGAGACATGGATCTACAACCGAATCGACCCGAATCTTCGCTTCGACCTGTTGATGCTGGCAGAGGCCGGTGGAAGATAGAGTTCAGAGTACATATCCATGAAGAACCTGTCGACGATTGAAAGGTAGACCGGACTTCTAAGCCGAGAATAATAATGGAGTGCTTCTTCAACATCCAATACATGTTCCATGTCACCAACATCCATCATCTCCAGTTCTTTCATCTTTTGAGCCAATGCATAACTCCCATCTCCATTTCTCTTGTAGTAGTACTGTTCCTCCCCTTTACTCACCTTTGAGCTTCTCACTCTCTTTTTCTCCTCTTTCCCTCCACTTTCCTTTACCTTCTTCTCCGGACTCGTATCCGAAAAGTTCATCAGGCTTCCACCACATTCATCTTCGTCCCTCATTTCTTCTGTCACCGACGTAGCAACGATCGCGTCGTTGTTCCTCGTCTTTGATACCTCGAGACCAACTTCCCAGTTGTAGCTAAAGTCCGGCAAGGATCGATCTTTCCGGTCTTTCTTCCTGCTGCGGCCACTGCAAGGGAATGGGTCTGGGAGGGTTTGTTTGCATAGCTTTTGGTATCCTAAAGAGATGAAAGATTTAAGGTTGTCAACTGATTTGTGGAACAAGTTCTTGGTCTTTTGTATGGATTCCATCATTGGCAATTTGTTTGGCAATTTCCAGTAGTGTTTTTACGGAGAGGCTTGTTAATCCCTATCTGCAACTTAAGACACAGCTCTATTCTTCTACTTCGTCCCCAACCGGTGTGTCCAATATACAGGTCAGATAGATAGAGACAAGTGATGTTTCTTAAAGTTTAACCGCAAACATAGCCTATATTACTCGGGTACGTGTCTACGCTGCTATTTTTTTACTTATATATTTAGCGAGTGATAAAGGTTACATTCTATATCCATGTTCAAATTTACATCGAATACGGATACTTCAAATAAAAATGAAGAATTCAAATAACATAAGACAAAGATTGAATAAATTGAGATCTTAGGAATCTAATCATAACAAATGTTTTGTTTTCACTCTCTGTTGTGTAAGGTGTAGTGCTATTGATTATGATTAAAAGCAAGAGGCAATTATTGGTTGGGTGATATGATCATATTTACTACTGCTACTTTTTTGTTAGCAATGATGACCTAACCAAGGGACCCATAAATGGAACATTGCTGGTTCTTTCTTTTTTTTCAAACTCTTTGTTGAACATAATTGTATTAGGCATATATCTATATTCGATATTTACACGAGTCCGGATAATAAAAAGTCTAAAATGGTCCTAATCTGTCGTGGGGGTTGACATCTAAGGGACCCAAAGCTCAGTTGCTGATATTAATGTGAAGATAAGGTGCATGTTGATGCTTGCATGGTTAAGTCAATTTCTCACAGTTGCCGTTGACATAATGAAGTCCCTCCACGGGATTGTAATGGGTCACGTTTAACTTGAATTGACCTAAAAATATATATCATACATTTAAATATAATTCTATCTAAAAATTATATATCCTCAATTTGACTTAATCCAAAAAATATATATCTTTCACCTAACTTCGACCCAATATGAATTTTTAGAATATAAACCCGACCCGATCAACCCGGTAAAAAGTAAATACTTTATTAAAAAAATATTTAAAAAAAATTATATTATTATCCCTAGGTCAGATTAGATTGGAGTTTTATCACCCTCCACTTGAACTCGACCCGACCCGGTCCGTCTAGGCCCGACCTCACCAATTAAAGAATCCTACTTGATCTAACCCGATCCGAACTTAAATATTCTTCTAAATTCAGATAAGATTAGATTAAACTCGTCGATTTCGAGTTAAATTGTATCCCTACGGACCCTACGTAAAACCAAACAGTGAGTTTGAGCCTTTGTTTTACATTTAGTTTGACAAAAAAGATAAGACTAACCAATAACAGCATCACAGCAGAAGGGCAAGAGCCGGGAGACCATTATTCTATTTGTGACATGCCTTTCACCATTTCCTGATAAATTCAAACCCAGAACTGTTTGAAAAATCGAAATGGTTCCGAGAATCTGATGGGGGAAAATCCAAATAAACAAAAGGAGAAAATCAAAAGCAGTTAGATATGGTTAAAGCAAAACTTTTGACCCCATTTGTTAAGGTCATTTGGTTTTAGGCAAGAATTTCCGAATTGTGCGTAATACATGTGCTCTGCTATCTCATTCCAGTCTTTGTTGAATCCAAACAACCGACCGACAATCTTACAATTTTGACCATAATTATGAATTTGCCAGAAATAAGATGATCTAATAAACTCCATTTCGAAGAATCTGATGTAAAACAGGTTTTCAATAAATGAAATTGCAGCATACTGAATTGCTTTACCTGGGACAGATCAATCGAGTATCAGAAGCACTTACGAGAAACTGAAGGCTGGACAATAAGCCCAGTGTATTCAATTTCCACCTCCATCCTTTCTGAGACTATAATAGATATTCCTCAAAACGCTTCAATTTATTACTTTACGTCCTATCGAGATATTTGTTGAGAGATTTTTTTTTTGACTCTTTCTAGTTTCAAAGAATTTTCTTGCGAAATATATATTTAATTAATTAATTGAATTCGAACAATTAATATTATATTCTCAAGATAATAGATAATGTTGATATTTGATTAAATTAACCTATATCTTGAGCAATCATTTATTCATCTCGGTCCAATCCAAGCTAACTATTGGGTTTTAGTATACACAAGAGGCCCATATAAGTCCCAGTATGCCACGTCTCAACCTTAAAAAAAACCCTTGTTTATTTGCCTTCTCTCTCACTTCCAACTGGTTTTGTTTAGAAACCGTATCGTCTCCGCCGCTCTCTTTCTTCAGAGTTAACTCTGCGTCGGCTCCAATGGTAAAAAACCCAATGAACACTCTTTTCTCTTCTTTTTACAGAACCTGATCTGTTTGTGTATTTGAAAACGAAATGAAAATGGTAATGTGCAGGGAAAGGGAACAGGGAGTTTTGGTAAAAGAAGGAACAAAACTCACACCCTCTGCGTCAGATGTGGCCGCCGTAGCTTCCATCTCCAGAAGAGTCGTTGTGCTGCCTGTGCTTTCCCTGCTGCTCGTAGGAGGAAATGTGAGTGCCACATCTACTTTTTCTTTCTTGTCTAGAACATTAGTTTTTTTTTCTTGTTTACTTTGTTACTAAGTCTCCTTCTGCAAATGGTTTTCTTCGATTGGTTGTTTGGGTTTTTTTCGTTATCTGCTCTTAGACTAAAGCTAATATCTTTTTATAAAAATATGTATTTAGGGTTTATAGTTTTCTATTTTGTTTTGCTCTCGAATGTGTTTATACTAATAGGAATTCAATTTCCTAAGTATAGTGGGAAATGAGTGCGATCAGAAATTTGTTTCTTTATAAAACTATGAACTGGTGCTGTATACAAGTAGCCATGTGTTGTGCTTTATGTATTTGTTAGTTTTTAATGTTGCATGAAATGTGCTAATACTATTAGTTATTTGAAGATATATGAATGATCATGTGGTAATTTGCTCGTGTGAATTTGTGTGAGCAATGTGAATGGATTGTAATTTGGTGTTAATCCTTAAATCTAAGAGGAGTTTTTTTTATTGTGGGGTTCAGATAACTGGAGTGTGAAGGCAATCAGAAGAAAGACGACTGGAACTGGTAGGATGAGGTATCTTCGCCATGTTCCTCGCAGGTTCAAGACTGGCTTCAGGGAAGGTAGTTAGCTTTTAATTTCTTATGTTAATTGCCTTTTAAATTTTAAGTACCTTTGCAATATGAATATAATCAGTTCCATTTGGAGTATTCTCTGTTTTAAATTTTTGTGTTGGATAATGGTCTAGGTACTGAAGCAGCACCCAGGAAGAAGGTTGAAGCAGCTTCTGCTTAAGGTTTTATGAGGTTGTTTTGGATTGAGCCGTCTTGTAAGGAAAAGTTTTATGAGAACTTTACTCGAGGAGTGTTATTACAATGAAATGCTTTCGTTGTTTTTGCTTGATTTTTATGGAGTTACTTTAAATTTTGAACAAGATTGCCAAGGCAATTGTTGTTTGGCCTTTAGTTACACTTTTTTTGGATGAAGTTTATCTTCTGGTTTTGGTTATGATGCTCTAATCTTGTTTTAAGATGGTTTAAGTGTTTTAGACATTGTGTTTCACATATTATCAATCTTGTTTTAAGATGGAGTTGAGCTCGAGTCTCTACTCGAAAACCTTAAAACTTAGCCTGACTTGAACTTTAATTCAAACAGTGATTATATGAAATTCTTATATAGTATTTTTGAAGAAATAATATATAAATATTAATATTATTAATAACTTAATTTAAAAAAATAAAATTTTTAAATGTTATTTTTTTAGTAGTTAGTGAGATTTTACAGATATCAAGTAGTTTGTTTTAATAAGTTAAGAATTTGAGTCTAGTTTTTCAAATGTAAAAGAAAAAAAAGCACCAACTACACTTGGAACATATCTCCATTGGACCGTGAAAACTCCACCCGAAAATCGTCCACCAGCGGACCACGAAGTGAGTTCATGTCAACCGATGTTGCAAATTGTAATACACCGTATAACTCAATACGTGTCCTCTCGGCCTTTACTGTGAAAAAAATGGGTTAGGCATTGCTAAGATTAGGGTGCATAAAAAATCTGAATATCTGATTTTGTGAAAAAAATATCTGAAATTAGATTTGGAAAAAATCGTTTTTTTAATCGGATCAGATTTTTTTAAACCGGTTATTTTAATCGGTTTTTTTACCGGATAAAAAATCGGTTTGAAAAAAACCGGTTTTTATCTAGAAAAAAATCGGTCTAGGTTTAAAAAACTAGCCGTTAATATAGTCGTGGGGGGGTTTTGTGACCGTTTTTGGCCGTTTTTTTCTTTAAAAAATTACCATTTTACCACCCTAAACATGTATAAATAGGTTGAGGATGTATTTGGTTGATTACAACTTTCTCAAATCTTATTACACAACACCTAAACATCTCTCAAATCTTATTTTTGTAATTTTTTGTTCATCATGAGTAACACGGCTGAATCTTCCGCCGGGGGAAACCTTGAAGTCGTAAGAGTGATCGAACACACTCGAAACAAAGATATTTGGGATCACTACGATTTATGTGAGATGTCAATTGGCTCGAGGAGGGCGCGTTGTAAACTTTGTCTAAAGTTTCTTGCATCGGAAGGAAACACAATGTTGAAGAACCATTTGACAAAATCATGTAAGGCACTTCGCTCAAGATCGGATCCTAGTCAATCGAATCTTACACCGCAAGGTGGTGTTTTTGTTTACGACAACGAAAAATTACGAGAAAAAGTTCGTGATTACAAAAGCATTGCCGTTCGACCACTTTGATGATGAAGATTTCACGACAACAATTCAACAACTAATGCAACCACTTTATACTCAAGTAAGTCGTACTACCCTTAGAAGATATGCTATAAAAATGTGGCATATGGCGAGGGAAAAAATGATTTTAGGATTCCAAGAATACCGTTATGGTGTGTCGCTTACATGTGACGTTTGGAGTTCCCCTCATAATACCGGAAATTCTTTTTTAGCCGTTACGTCACATTGGTTAGATCAAGATAATTGGCAAATGATGAAAAGAACAATCACGTTTGAATTATTCGGTGAGCTACATACCGGTGCTAATTTATTTACACTTTTAAAAAGGGTAATTTGTCTTTATAAATTAAAAAATAAAGTTTTTTCTATATCCTTTGATAATGCATCGAATAATACAAACGCGGTTCCAAGATTGAAAATATTACTTTCACCGATTTTAGACGGTGCGTTTTTTCATACCCGTTGCGTTGCACACATAATTAATTTATCCGTGCAAGCCGGTTTGGAGGTTATTGAGCCGATTAGATTAGAATTTAAAACAATTATAAAATCGGTTCTTTGTAACAACAACAAAAGACTAAATGATTATAAACGATTTTGTAAGTCTATTAATAAAAAAGCTTTGAGTCCTAATTTGGATTGTCCAACTCGTTGGAACTCAACTTGGATGATGATGCATACTGCCTTAAGGCAAAGGGAAACATTGCAAACATTTCACGATCGGCTTTTCGAGAGGGGTCATGTCCCAAACATTTATCCGGATTCGAGTTGGGAAACTATAGCCAAAATAACCGATTTGCTTGAGGTTTTTAAAAATGCAACAACTTTTTTATCCGGTGTTTATTACCCTACTAGCCCGTTGGTTCTTAATTAAATATTTTTGTTGGCTACCCGACTAAATGACTTTGAATTTGAAACCGAAGTTTTTCAAGAAATTAGCTTTGCAATGAAGAAAAAACTTTTAAAATATTTTAAGGAGATTCTCCCCATTTTTACTTGTGCCGCCGCTTTAAACCCAACGTTAAATGTTGGCGGTGTTGAAACACTAATGGAACAAATTGCATTTGTTTTTAATCTAACCGATGATGAACCCAACTTTGTCCAAAACCAAATAAATTATTTTAACAAATGTTTTCGAGACATTTTTACAATTTATTTAACTAAATATGGATCAAGTAGTGTAATATACGATCAAATGAGAATGAATGCGGAATCATCTAGTAGACGTCCAAGTAACATAAATTTGAATCTTTTTAACACTCTTGTAAATTCTCAATCCAAACGATCACGTACTACCACCCCAAGTAGCGAGTTGGGAAATTACATGTCATGCGATTTTCTATCAAAAATGACATTTGAAGAATTTGAAAGTTTGGATATTTTGGCTTGGTGGAAAGAAAAGGAAGCACAATTTCCGATTCTAGCCGCCATGACCCGTGATTTACTAACTGTCCAAGCTTCTACGGTAGCTTCGGAATCCGCTTTTTCTGTTAGTGGCAGGGTTATATCGCAACGGATATCAAGACTAAGTCCCGAGTCGGTGGAAGTATGCATTTGTTTAAAGGATTATTTGGATGGAGCGGCTCGTAAGCAACATATCACCACTCTAGAAGATGCAATTGATGTCGATTTGGAAGCAAACTTACACATTGAAGAAGTCGAACTTGGAATATCCCCTCCAAACAAAGAAGGCGAAGATGATGAAGAAGAGATGTCAATGTAGTTTATTTTTAAACTTTATTTCAATTATCGAACTTGAAGTTTTTAAGTATTTGAATTTATCAAACTTGGAAGTATTTAAGTATTTCAATTATCGTAAACTTTGTTGCAATTGATGACGATGTAATTTTAATAATATTAAAATCAGTTTTTTATAACCATTTTTTTAAAAAAATCAATTTTTTTAAAACCGAAACCGGTTACACCGGTTAGGATATCCAGCCCTCCAAACCGGTTAGAAACCGAACCGGTTATTTTATAAACCGGTTTTTTTTCTATGGGAAAAAACCGGATCGGATAAAAACCGATCCGGATCGGATTGAAATCCGACTTCAGTGCAACCCTAGCTAAGATGATCAAAAGGGGGACCTTTTATCGTATTAGACCCTCGGAACAACTTGAAATAGTTAATATTTCAAATTGACATGGGCTGAATTTGTCTTCTTATTTTATAGCATTTTTTTCATTTCATTACACTAACATAATTTCTTTTTTTCTCAAAAATACAACCGACATCCTTGAAAGACAAGAAACCCTCGGTACAAAGCTTTGTTCTTTGTTGGCTGTTGCTATAACAATAGGATCAAATTACAAGTTTTCAAATTTCCCAACAACCTTAATAAATATAGAAGAATCTCTGGACCTAAAAAATTTATTGACTACTGTAACAATCAAAACATATATCAAAGGGAGTTGAAAAACTTTGGTAAAAGCCCGCCCTTTTCCCTATATTTTTGGGAGGCCTCGAGGGCTGCCACAATTGTTCTTAGGTATTCCAAACTATATATTTCCTATAGTTCATCTTTGGCCGCTTGATCTTTGGGTCTCACTTGTTTGTTAATGAAGGCTGCTAGTTCTTTTGAACCAGATTTTGTTGAAAGTTTGATCTGCAAAGCAAAAATATGGATCGCTATGTTAGATGGTGCTAAACAAGTCACATACGCATAAAAAATTGAGTGAATACTGTTATAATGATTACCGGATTGTCTTTATCACCGGCTTTGTATAAAAAAAGTGACGGATAGTCATAGACCTGAAACAATAAACAATGTCGAGTATGAATCACGTTGCAGTCATCAAATTTGTAATCCATGTTGAAGGATTCCATACGTAATCAACGTGCTTCCTTGGTTTTCCAATGACAAAAACTAAGAATCATGAAGTATATGAGAGCTAACATACCCAGAAAAAAGAACAATTTTATCTTTTGGACTAGGTAATCGACTGAGATAGAACCATATGTGAGCTAACCTACCCAGGAAATTCAGTATTGAGGTTTAGAAAGCTGACTGATTGCTTGAAAAAACATACCTGAAGTTTTGGATGTTCATTAGCAGAAGCATCAATCTTTGCAAAAACTAGATTGTCCAAAGCTTTAAAATGCTTAGCCAATTTCTCAACCTGCTTGCTTGTGGTCTCACAATGGATGCACCATGGCGTATATACCTGTTTTGTAACAATGGAATAAGACCTTTTTAAAGTTAAGCGTATAATATGACAGCAAACTTCTCGACTCTTGATTTAAATTAATACATAGCAGGTGATAGTTAAAATGGTGCAAATTACTACCATCAATCCTATCCTGTATCTAAATATATAAGAGCAATGGGCATGGATTCAATATGTGCAGTGAATCCAGTTATCCTGTATTTTCATATTTCAGATGCAGCTCTGATGGGGTTAATTAGCTTGCACATCTCATTGGCATATGCTAAAAAAGCATGGAAGGTCCAAAAGATTGATACCTCTAAAAGAACATTCTTGGGACTGTTCAACACTAAGTCATCAAATGTCTTTCCCACGACAGCTAGTAAACTTGCATTATTCTACAAATTTCATAATACAAAAGTTTGTTAGGATTCAAATAAAATATAATAAACATTAAATTCACATTTCAGCAGCTCGGATGGAAAATATCTTTCGGATGTGCCGAGAAAGGAACTTGCATCGATATGATGCAAATGATGACACTTGCATTTCCCCCCATTTCTTCAACTTTCAAAAGAAATGACAGGATTATAGAACTACAACATTCAATG